TGCGCTATGATCAGCCTATTTTAGGCATACAAATACTCGTATAAGAGTTTAAATCAGTAAGTCCATTAATTAGTTAGATAAGTAAATATAAATTTGTCGTGTTTTAATAAATTACATGTCAATAGTGTCCGTCAAATAGTCAGATGAGGAAGACTACTTAATGCTTAATAGATTATAATAAATTGATGTCAATAAGTAGGTAATTAATAGATTATTGTAGTCAATACGTTATAGCTATACATAAGTCAACAAATAAGCAAAATCAAAATTTATCCATTAAAAAATCTGAGACACTATAATAACATTTTTGACACAGTAATTGTTTTAAAGATTTTTTAAAAGAATTAACATTAGCTTGTTTTAGCTCTTTTGGTAATTTATTATAGATAGCTGGAGCCATACGAAAGATACTTTTATGCATTAATGCGGTATTCGTTATGGGTATACATAGACGACTTTCATCCCTTTGTGGCCGATTATAAGCTTCAGATAATAAAATAAAGTGTTGAGGATTTTGCCTTACAAACACCGCGGTTTCATAAATGTATAGTGATGGTAAGGTCATAAGATTGTGTCTTTTGAAGAAAGGTACACAGCTGTCAGTTGCCTTCAAACCAAACATAGCCCGGACGCACCTTTTCTGTGCCCTAAAGACAAGAATTTTGTTGGTGGAATTCCCCCAAAATATTATGCCATACCTAAGAACAGATGCTACCAGCCCATGATAAGCGATTATTAGTGTATTTACTTATATCTTACCTTGTCATCAGGGACTACGAGCAATGGGCCGTGAATAGCGCAATACTCGTATACGAAGTCGGCGCACTCATCGCAAACTGACAAAAGAACAGAGTTTTTGTAATATATCTAATTCTATACATATAATAAAACTACGGTCGTGTTGGCCCGAAGGTTTAAGACGCCCGCTTCTCATGCATGAGGGTGCGGGCTTCGAAACCTACCAACGGCAAGTACCAATGTGACTTTTTCAGAGTTATATGTAGGTACTTTCTAAGATTATCTAGACACCACTGACAAACGGTGAATGAAAACATCGTGAGGAAACCTGTGCTTATAATTTCTAATTATAAGTTTGTAATCGCCAACCCGCATTGAGCAAGCGTGGTGATTAATACTCAAACCTTCTCCGTGTGAGTGAGAAGAGGCTTTGCTCAGCAGTGGGCACTTATAGGCTGTTGCCGGGCCACCACGTATTCGAGTTACCTAATGTACCTATATTGTACTCACATATATACTCGTCCAGACTCGGCTCCTCGGGCTCATAGTAACTTATTCGCGGCTTTTGCCGCAGCGTGCGCCGTCGGTTCATCTGACAACAATAAAAACAACTATACCTAGATATACGGATTAACCAGCTCGCAAGATCTGAGATCAACATCATCATGACATCACGCCTTTTATCCCCGAAGGGGTAGGCAGATGTGCACATTACAGCACTTAATGCCACTGTACAATGTAACACCCACTTTTCATTATTTATGTTACGAGTCCCATGTAATAGGGGGTGAGCATATTGCCATATACCGGGCACATTTCCAGACTCCGTCTTATAACTGAGCTTTTTAAAAAACCCGAAAATACTTTGCCCGACCCGGGAATGGAACCCGAGACCCCTTGGCGGGCAGTCGTACTTGCTCTCCGCCAATTTAGCAGATCTGCTCAGCAGATCTAAGATCTAATGAGCAGCAACATATTAAAAGTATGTTTAGTATGTTCCTTGAGAAATTGGCAGAGTGGTCGCAAGTGCGACTGCCGGGTAAGGGGTCTCGGGTTAAATTCCTGGATCCGGCAAAGTAAGTATTACTTAGGTACTGGGTTTTTTTAAAATAGAATTCTCAGTAATAGCACGGAGTCTGGAATTGTAGGTAGTGAAAAGCGAGTGTTAGGTACACTGGATGTCTGTATAGAGAAATTAAGTGCCATAATGTGCGCCTCTGCCTACCCCTTCGGGGATAAAATGCGTGATGCTATATTATACTTTCAGAGATGAAACAGCAATTCTTGCAACCAGTTTTATCTTCTTTCTGAGGTAAAATTCACGTTTTGCTTTCGAGTTATTAATATTTTTGTTAACTTTATTGATAACTAGCGACCCGCCCCGGCTTCGCACGGGTGCAATATGTATATACATACAAACCTTCCTTAAGAATCACTCTATCTATTAAAAAAACCGCATCAAAATCCGTTGCGTAGTTTTAAAGATCTAAGCATACATACGGACATACAGCGAAAGCGACTTTGTTTTATACTATGTATTGATAAGTCAATAAGTACATTATATATTACGAAAGTTATAACAAATATTACCTTTCCTACTTCTTTTTGGTATTACTGCGCTGTTTTTGTTCTTATTCAGCTACATTAAACACAATTTCACATTCATAAACTCAAGTGAAAATACAGAAATTCAATTAAACCTTTTTATCTTATAGAATGGACTAATAAATTAATAAACTGACGACTACTGCGCAATGCGCAACGCAATTTAAGCGCGCTTTACGTATTTTTGCCGCCAAATATTATTGCATTTTTATTATTAGCGCCATTCGTGTGGGAAAGAGAACATGAGCCAGAATCATTTGAGTTCTTTTATTTCTCTTTCAATATAATTTTATTTTATTTATGTATTATTGTTATGATTTTAGTACAAATATATATATTTTATATTTTGAATTTATATTCATCACAATTAGAAAGCAAAATAAAGCATTTTATAAATAAAAGTAATTTATGTCATCAAGCATTTCCTATATAATAATTTCAATGTTACCAACCGTATAAATGGAAGCACGAATCCGGAAGCAGGAACCATAGTTTGTCATTCAATCAATTTCATTCTTTTTTCTTTCATCTATGTCAAATTGTCAAAATCAAAACATAAACAAACGAGATGTCGGCGACCGGTTTATACAGTCTTAAATACTGAAGTACAAGCTATAATAGATATTTGATAGGGTTTGCTTTTATTTGTTAGGTGCGCTGATTCGCGGAGGAAATCAATCAATAAATCATAGACTATAATTGCATTTTTATGGAAAGTTATGAAAATTTTAATTGTCCTTTGTTATTCAGTTCAGTGAAATTGTGGGATTTTTGTAGCAATTTAAATCGGTGAGGAAAGCAAATGTATTTTTTTATATTTATTTTATTTTAATTATTATTCTTTGATGCAAAGCGTAAACTATGCTTAGCGAAAAAAAATATTTAATGAACGCAATTTGTTTTTAAATGTTTCATTAGAATGTTAAATGAAAACAAATGACTCGTAATGTTCCTAATTAACAATATTTAAAAAACTGAAATTAAGGATTATTTTAATTTCGATTCGTTAATTTCTACATGGACGAGAAAAGAAATAACTTCAAAATATTATATCTAAAGAAATAGTACTAACTATACAATATAAAAAATGATCTGCCCTACTATGTAATGCGATTGGAACTGTTTTAGCTAAAACCGGCAATTTTATTGTTTATGTTTTAATATTTAATACTCTACAACATAATAACAAGTCAAAACCTGTAAGGCGAGCGGCGTGGCGGTACGCGACGCGACACGTACCTATGAAACTCAATAATGTAGGTATCACACTGCCGGCCGAATATTCGGCGGGTGGTCAGGCAGAATATCCGGTATCCAGTATCCAGCCAAACAACTATTCGTTGCATCTCTACTCAAGTTCCCTTCCGAAAGGCCGGCAACGCATTTGCAATGCCTCTGTCTAGTGTTGCGAGTAGGGTTGCCACCCGTATTTTATAAAAAAGTATTGTACGTTATAAGGTAATTGTACTCTATACTTTATAAGATTAATAAAGTACACGAAAATACTTTATTTTTGCAAACTTCATTTCTATTAAAGTCGTAAGTATTTTTCGATAACCTTATCGATTCGATATCGATATTTATCCATTTATGTAGAATCGATTTCGCCACTCGCCAGCGCCACTCAGACAATTTCTAGTAAAGATGCAATTGTTTAGTATTCAATGCAATTGTTAAGTAAAGATACTAATTTAATACAAACTGCAAAAAGCAATAAAAATATATATTTTTAAATATAATACTAAATAAGAATAAATTGTACTTTATTTTTTTACTGTGTACCTTTTTTTTCTTACCTATAAACAAAATGAGGAAAGTTCTGTGTTGTCGTCAAATAAACATTAAGCTCAGAGTTAGGTTACTCTTCTGCTACATCTGGCCCCTAGTCATGTACGGATGTGAAGCATGGACCGTGAAGGAGGACACTACGAGACGTATAAATGCATTCGAGATGTGGTGTTACCGTCGAATGCTCCGAATCAGCTGGACACAAAGGGTCAGCAACGAATCCGTGCTACAGCGCGTCCAAATGACCCGGAAAATTATGCTGACCATCAAAAAGCGAAAAATCGAATATCTCGGTCACGTGCTTAGACACGATAGATATTCACTGCTTCAACTGATCATGATGGGCAAAGTGGAGGGGAAGAGACGTGCTGGGCGCAGAAGAAAATCGTGGCTGCGAAACATCCGGGAGTGGACCGGCATTACATCTGTCGAACAATTGTTCCGCATGGCTACCGACAAGGAGAAATACAAGAAGCTGACGGCCGACCTTCAACATTGAAGAGGCACTGTAAGAAGAAGAATAATCGTCAATGTACTTTATATACCAAAAAAAAAGGTGGCAACCCTAGTTGCGAGTGTCCATGGGCGGCGCTGATTGATTACCATCAGGTGATTCGTCTGCTCATTTGCCGCTTGCCGCCTTATTATTCTAGCTATCCTTTTACCATTCAAAGTAGACTTGTAGGACTAAAAAACGGAGCCACTAGCATTTTGTCTTTTTAATATTCATCATAAACATTAACTGATACAAGTACAGTGAAACCTGGTTAAGTGAGACATCAAGGGACCTGCAATGTCGTTTCACTTCTAGAGGTATTCCACTTACCCAGTGTCTCAGATATACAGGTATAAATAAATATCTGTCTCATTTACAGAGGGTTCCATTAATAGAGGTGGACTTGGAATTACGTGTGAAATTTATGGGTAAAATAAGAATGAGTAAACAAACAATGTTATCTCAGTTACAGAGGTTTATGCATATAAAATTTACTCGCTGTCTCAGTTATACGTAGAGGTAACTATGATGATAAATCGAAAGAACAAATCCCAGATATAGAGGTTTACCTTGTCCCACTAACAGGTAATTGTAACCAAAGTGTTGGGACCTCAGCATGAGTTCCAATTATGGAGGTTTCTCACTTATCCAGGTCCCACTAAAACAAGTTTCACTGTATATTATTAATTGGTAACGTATGTAGTACAAAAGGCAATTTAGATACCTACCTTTAAGAGTGCAATCAGTAAAAATCTACAATAAGCTGCCTGTACAATTTAAAAGCTCCAATAATCCAAATGAATTTCAGTGAAAATTAAAGACATTGGTATTGAGGAAATGTTATTACAGCATTTAGGAGTTTCTGAAAGATAATAATCATAGTTGATACTAATATTGAGATTATAACATAACATCACGCCTTTTATCCCCGAAGGGGTAGGCAGAGGTGTATATTATGCTGTACCTACAATGTAACACCCACTTTTCACTATTTATGTTGTGAGTCCCATGTAATAGGGGGTGAGCCTATTGCCATATACAGGGCACAATTCCAGACTCCGTGATACTAATGAGATTAAAAAAAAACCCAGTAATACTTTGCCCGACCCGGGAATCACACCCGAGACCCCTTGCCCGGCAGTTGCACTTGCGACCACCCAGCCAACGAGGCAGGCAGCCAACCAACAATTGTATACATAAGTATATTAACTCGTCGAGCACCGTCATTATAGACACAATTAAAGAACAATAGGTTGCGGTCACCAGTGACCGCTTGGTGTTTGACAGTTTAAACAACAAACATTCAAACTGTCAAACACCGCGAGGACACCGGTGACCGCAACCTATTGTTCTTTGTGTCTATAATGACGGTACTCAAAGGGTTAAATCAGATAACATTTATTTACAAATAAATAAATCTTTATTCATTATGAGAAATTGGTCATGGTACAGATAAACATCTTAATTTAAAATCAGAGATCTCACTAGGTTTGAATACCTGTACTAGGAAGAATATCCTGTATCACAGGCGAAAGGAGCACTCACAATATTACTAATTCTAGGACAAGTTATTTATATAAAGAAATTCCTTAACATAAGTAATCGATCAAAATTACAGTAAAATGTTACAATCGATTACAGGCGAGTACCGCATTCTCTAATGCACTCTAAGTGTGGGAGAGCCATGCTTCGGCACGAATGGGCCGGCTCGACTGGAGTGATACCACGGCCGAGCAGAAAACCGACGTTACCGGAGGCCCAATTACCCTCCCCTTCCCCAATCTCCCCAATCCCTGAATCCCCAACGATCCTCAAACTCTTAATCCCCAAAAGGCCGGTAACGCACTTGTAACGCCTCTGGTGTTCCAGGATGTTTACTCTTGAAATCAATCTCAATGTCAATGCAATTTCAATCCAATAAAATCTTAATAATCATTCAATGTAAAACTATACAACCCCTATCGTAGCTGTTAAAATAGCACTCAGAGTACGGAATATAAAGCCAAACTCAATACCATTTAGTTCATACCCACGCAATACGGATGCAATGGGCGCTAGTGTTGCAACTCAAGAGTACGAAATTTCACAATACCAATGTCGATAGATCGGAATTGGATTCAAGAGTAAGCACCCAGGTGTCCATGGGCGACGCCGATTGCTTACCATCAGGTGATCCGTCTGCTCGTTTACGCATATGCCATAAAAAAATCTTTAATAAAAAAATCTATTAATGAAAGCAAAATTAGAATAAAAGATATTGGTTAAAAAACCAAATTAAGTTGCATTCATTTACGTGAATAAATTAGCAATAGATTAACTAAAAATGCGGGTTCGATAAAATGAAAAAATAACACTAAAAAGGAGGCTGTTTCATCGCTCCCAAATGTAGTTAGTATCGAAGGGAATCATAATAAAATAAACAAATACATATGTACTCATAACTCATTTATTCTCCACTCCAATAAATAACCATATTTCACAAATTCACACCATTATATACTTCTATATTTATAAATTATGCTAAATATAAGTCTAAATATAAATCTTCATACACTTAAAGACTAAAGGCCGATTGTTCCAACGCCAGATAAATTTAAACTGAGGAATAGACATGGCGACTATTTTTTAATTTTTTGTCCGCCTTTTAGATATTTTAGAAATCTTCGATACGTATTTCTTTTTTCTCGTATCCAAAAAAACATGTAGATATTTTGAGTTAAAATGACGCGTGACGTCACAATTAGGTACGATTTCTCCGTAAGTGTGACGTCAACACCCCCCATTCCCTAACTTTAATGCGGAATAACTACGTATTCTTCTGTTAATTTGATAAAACAAAAAATACGTGTCTGATATTTTCGT